TCTGCAAAGGTTTCACATTTAAGTTTTGCTAAGCAAGTGGGCTCAACATTTAGGGTAGAATTTGTGTCCATTGCAGCAATTCTTTCTAATGAAAGCCTTCTTTAGAAAGAATGTACCACAGATGAACATTTTCAAGTAGATACATGCAGCTTTCACTGATGTGTTTTACCATATATGCTTTCCTGTAGCTGAATATGTGGAAAAGCAACACACTGAATATGATCCTGACGAAACAGGTATTAATTTTACATCTGGAAAGTGTTCATTTTACGATCCATACCACCACAAATTGTTATTAGTCCTGTTATTATAGCTAACCATTTGTTTTCAGCCAGAAAGTGCTCATTCGTCATAACTGTCATGAAACACATTTATATCAAAATGATTTACTAGCGTGGTATTCTGAGAAATATTTTATCGTGGTTTTAAAGAGAGGATATTATATTTCAAGACAAATTTTGAATCGCAACATTTATTTGGTGTTTGTGCACCATCATGAACCAGTAATGGGATATGAGATAGATTTGTTAAAAGGACAATTCAAAATTATTGTGCTAAAATCAAGATAAAATGATTTTCAGAATACTATCCCTATTTTGTTATCATTATTACATGTTAATTATTTTATCAGTCATGTTTCATTGATCAAGCATTACACAGTATTCAGAATGATTACAAAGTTTTGAAATTCTTTTTGCTCTGTACTCATGTTCAAGAATGAAGTTAAAACAACATTTTAAAGACAATATGGAGAAAGAAAAGTGGGGAAGAAATGAGAAAAGGTTTAAGATAAAAAAAAAGTTGCTCAAACTTTCACCAACCTGTTCCTGTTCTTTTTTACTGTTGCTTCTATTGAAACCAATTTTAAATCAGGGTGGACTTCCCCTTTAACTTTAGTGTGTCGCTTGTTTTCAGCAGCCTTTTCTTTGCATCCATTTGTTTCTCACAGTTTAACATCTAATAATCTAATTTCTTATTATTAGTCATACATGTATCTCTTTAGAGATGCATGGTAGTATTAATTTGAAATGTATATCTGTCATGCTACATCCAACAACAAAAAAGTCTTCAAGGATGGGCTCGTTCAAGATATTGTCTCAATTGTATTTCAAATCACATGAAACACTTTTTTTCATGTAGTGAGGATGACATTAACTTTGATAGCCCTTTTACAGTTTGGAAATGATTTTATAAAGAGTAAAATACTACTTTCAAATTTCAATCAAGGCGTGTGTTCATTATTGCATCATGAATACCCTGATGTGTATGGGAGAAATATATATACATTTTTTGTTGACTTGCCCAGTTCAATTTTCTTATTCCAAAGCTCATTCATTGTAATTCATCCTCAAACAAAAAAATCTAAATATATTTCCTCTGTAAAATACCTTAAAGGTAATACAAAGTTTTGGTATGGGGTCATGAATTTGGTTCAAATGAACATATTGGAAGCATATGCGATCCTACAATATTCATTGATCGTTGTCGCGGTTGAAATCAAGTCTAAAGTGATGAAATTGTAATTAATAAACTATTTATGTTGTATAGCGCCCTCTCAATGTCAATATATTAATTTAGCTATAAAACAATGTTCTTTGAATAAAATCGACCGATTTGCTATTACCATTTGGAATATATATACCACAACTACATTCTGAGATTTTCATGGTCGCAGCTACCATCGTATGGTCGTAGGCGCTATTTGAAATTTATCAAAATTTACCGGGAGCACTGGTAAATTTGTATTCAATTTTTCTCAAAAGCAGAAGTGTTTTAGGGGCTAATATTTCTTGTGCTTATAAAACATCCACAGGGGCATCCAAATGCGTAAAAATTGTAAACAATGACTAACCACCCAATTTTCGAAATTCCCAAAACTTTGTATTGCCTTTAATAAGGCTTGTTCAGATATAGAGTGGCAGAAAGACACCATGATTTTTGTTCAGGTGTGAAGTGAATGGAAACTGTTGCGCAAGAAAGGACTTTGCTTTATCTACTAAGCTCTGTGTCATAACATTCACAAATGCAAAGCCTCATAAATAAATGAAAAAAGCTGGGGTTTTGCCGCATCATATATATCTGAACAATCCTTATGAGACACTTTGCTAACTATTAGACAATTGCGCAGGATTAACTTTCATATATAACCTGCTCCTGCTTCTCTAACCCATTCTACCACATTGTTTCTATGCCCCTTTCACACTTGTCCTTTCTTTCCTAACAAACGTGCCATTTCCTTCTAACACGCAACAACAGCGCAATTCATTTTCCGGCCCTCCAAATATCTTTCGGGCCACTATCACCACCACCTCCCCACCTATCAAGATCTATTGTCGAGAAAGTCGTCTAAGTCGTCTCTGAGTAGTCTTGGTGAGGAATTCCGTGATAACGGGACTGTATAATTTGTGTAATTGTCTCTATTGACTATGCTCCAAGTCCAGGGGGTGTTTCACAAAGATCCACTGTCAAACTTAACTCTTAGTCGGACTTGAAAATTATGGAGAGCCATTTGTAGCCTTTAAATGAAATATATCCTCCTTGCTTGGTTCCTAACAGGACGTTGAGGAGTATCCCAGAAGAAGAATATTCAAAACCGAAGTATTTTAGACTTTGTATAAATTCCACATCAAGAACATGAAATCTCCTTGATGATAGAAAATATGAATGATATGTATCAACATTGCATGCCTTTTAGAATAACTTTTACAAAATATTTTCACAGATGCTAACGGCTTTCCATAACTGCTAAGTCCAACTTAGAGTTCTATAAGTTCAACTTAGGATTTTTGTGAAACACCCCCCAGCTGTAATAGTATGCATGAAGCCTGCATGGGGAATGCATTATTTATTACCATAAAACTAGACAATTTTGTGTGCATGAAATGCTTTTAATACAAATATTGCGAATTAAAATTAGCAAAACTTTAAAGCCGTGAAATTGTAAAATCACAACCAAAATCGTACTTAATTTTTGCAGGTGGTGAAAGATATTTACTGTGAAACTAGCCATTGTTTTTAATTTGTCTCTGGTTTCGTAAAATGAGTACCTACATGTATTATATATTTTAATTTAATGTTAAAGATAGCTACATGTATAACCATATGTACATGTAACATGAAAAAACACAGTTGGCTTGACAGTTCTTCGCAATAAAAGTGCCTTATTATTTTATTTGTTATTTATTTATCTATTCATTGATAGGTTTATTTTATATTGATCTAAATGCTTGTTATTATTTTTTTGCTTCTAGCAAATCCATTATTTACACTTGAATTCAGGCATTATATTGTACCTGTACAGTGTTCTTGTAATATTATTATTCATTTGCATAGACATGCATGCTTTACCAGCAGCCAATATATGGATGAATAATAATAATGAAATCAACTGACACTACATGTATATTGTCCTTTATATTATAAACATATTGCCCTCATCTACTGTACCACTCAGGCAGTGGGATTACAATTGGATAATGCATCCCCTCAAAAGTGAAAAACAGTCAATATTTACAATGTGAGGATTTGTGATACATGTGTAGAATATTAGTCCATTGTCCGTTTCAGTGTACATACATGCATGTACATGTAAGTTTGCAAAATGCTAATTTGTATCTACACCTGTACATGAATGTACATGTATGTATATCATTAATCGGAAGAGGTTGTGCTATTGTCCTCAGTGCTCTTTGTCTTATTGTTCATTGAATGTATTTGTCTCCATAATGTATCAACCTTGCATTTGACAAGAACGTGATTCATATTTCTGTACAGTGTATGCTGTATTATTTGACCATTCCTTCATTTGATCATTAAAGATAAACTTGAGTTCTGGTAATGCGATTGCATTGTGAAAGAAAAGGTGTGGAATGGATCAGAAAAGTTGATCATATAGCATGTAAGTAATGGTGTGTAATGCAAGGTTCTGGGGTCATCAAAATCATCATAAATTTGGCAGAGTCTTGGTAAATTAACAATCACTTACACAGAAAGATGTATATGGGACAACACACGTGGTGTCGGGGCTAGTACTACCCTGATTTCCTTATCTTTCTATGCTCATTACTCAGCCAGTATACATTTTCTTCCAAAATTGTTTGGCACATGACATTTATTTGTAATCTTGAACATTCAGTGTAAGTTTTGTTAGATTCTGTGAGAATTCATTTTCTTTTTTTACCAGAACTCAAGTTTATCTTTAATATGCCACATTATCAAGGAACGTACATTAGGAAAAATCAATTGTCCGCATACTTAAATTAAAGGTAAAAACCAGTTATGGTCATGCGATTGCATTGTGAAAGAAACGTTGTGGAATCGATCAGAAAAGGTTGATCATCTAGCATCTAGCATCTGCCAGGTTCTGGAATCATCAAAATGATAAGAAATTTGGCCCATTCTTCGTAAAGTTACAAGCACTATACACAGAAAGATGTATATGGGACTACCCTATATCTTTCACAGACCATGAGAGAAACAAACTTACCAAATATATGAATTAGTAGGCGGTTTCCCGGCAAATTTTTTATCATCATGTATTAGTCAAAACATATTCTTTCACATGATTGGTAATGAGAGCTTCCATTTCATTTTTTGAAATTGGGGCGTTTCCAATACTGGTCTTTACCTTTAAAATATTTGGTAAGTGTATGAATAATTGAGATGTCAACTGCATGTCTTTTAATGTTTCAACGTTAAATATGGTTAAATGCAAATAAATAATTGATGAAGAGGGTAGACCAAAAAAAAAAAAATCATTATTTTCTTTTATCATATTCATAGCAAGTGATGATTCATCAATATTTTTTTATTCATGCTTTAATGTCTCATTGTTCAATATTTTTAAATTGAATTTTTTATTGTCTTGCACAAATAAAGGAACGCATTACAAAAAAAGCAAATATATATAAATTTTAAAGATGGTTGAAAAAAAAATCTAATTTCATGTTTTTGTTCTTGAACGTTGCAGGTGATGGTAAATGGAGGGCCCCTGACCTACAGGAAGTGATTGATTACCTGGGTCATCCTAACCAGTCTATTGTTGCGCATGCAGCGGGTTACATACAGCATCTCTCTTACCAGAATGATGACATCAAGAGACAGACAAGGTCAGAAAGAATTCAATTTAAACGTAACATACAGGTATTCTTAAAGGGATCGTTTAACAATGTTAAATCTGAGATGCAGGGCCCTACGTGTTATCAGTGTCTGTGATATGGTGTAATATTGAAGCCCTAAAAAATTGCGCTTCAAAATGATCAAGAAGTGCCTCAAAAAAGTAAAAATCTTTGAGTGACCGGTTTTACCATACTCGTTTTCCCCAATAGACTGTAGTGTTATGAAAACCGTCAGGCGAACGGTTTTCAAAATTTGTAATTCCAATCATAAATATCTTGATAATCAGAGAGGCGATCGGCTTGTAAAAGTCATGGGGTTCCTGACTGACCTAAAGGTTTATAATTATCATTGCTTCATGAGCTAAATCCAGAATTTTGTTTCAGAATCTGAGACAAAGTTACCGGATCCCTTTAAAGATAAACTTGAGTTCTGGTAAAAAAAGAAAATGAATTCTCACAGAATCTAACGAAACTTACACTGAATGTTCAAGATTACAAATAAATGTCATGTGCCAAACAATTTTGGAAGAAAATGTATACTGGCTGAGAATGAGCATAGAAAGATAAGGAAATCAGGGTAGTACTAGCCCCGACACCGTGTGTGTTGTCCCATATACATCTTTCCGTGTAAGGGATTGTTACTTTACCAAGACTCTGCCAAATTTATGATGATTTTGATGACTCCAGAACCTTGCATTACACACCATTACTTACATGCTATATGATCAACTTTTCTGATCCATTTCACATCTTTTCTTTCACAATGCAATCGCATTACCAGAACTCAAGTTTATCTTTAATATATTGGCGATAGCAAGAGTTGGATACTTGGCCTAAACCTTTCCTTTTTGCATCAACCAACACGTATATTTGTGAAAAAAGGATATTAAAGGGGGTGTGGCATGACGAGACTACCTGTCTTTCCCGTGGCCTGGCTCGGGGCCAATAGGCTATAATAGGACTACAGACGATGCGACCGCAGTATTCATGTGCATGCAACATCAGGAGAACTTCGGTCTGTTTCGCGAACGCCAGCACCACTGACCGTTAATCAACTCCACTTGTTTACGTGCAGTTGTCCAAAAGAAGTCAAAGATGGCGTTAACCAGTACTTGCCATGCTACACTCCCTTTAATGTATGCCTGTGATGGTAGTGATGATAATGATGATTACCTGTAGTGAATTTATGTCAGATTCTGTCTACATTATCTTTGCTCAGTGAATCTTACCTTATTATTTTGTAAGCTTTCTTTCGTTTGAATAATTGTTGTCCCTCTTCTTCTTTGCAGAGAGATGGGTGGTATCCAGCCATTGGTGGGGTTGCTGGGCAACCCGGTGGTTGAGATCCACCGGACGGCTTGCGGGTCCCTGCGGAACCTGAGCTACGGCAAAGCTCATGAAGAGAACAAAGTCAAGATCAAAGGGAATGGTGGTATACCAGCACTGGCCAGGCTGCTTAGGACATCTACAGATAGAGAGGTAAGGATGGTGATGGTGACTGGTGGTGATGGTGATGATGGTGGTGATGGTGGTGGTGGTGGTGATGGTGGTGGTGGTGGTGATGATGGTGGTGGTGATGGTGGTGATGGTGGTGATGGTGGTGATGGTGGTGATGGTGGTGGTGGTGATGATGGTGGTGATGGTGGTGATGATGATGAAGGGCTGGTGGTGATGATAATGATGGTGATGGTGATGATGATGGTGATGATGATGATGATGATGATGTTAGTGAAGATGATGATGGCAGTGATGATGATGATGGTGATGGCAGTGATGGTGATAATGATGATCATGGCATTTTCGATGACAATGTTGATGTTAATGAAGAGGATGATAATGAAAATGATGACGAGTGATGATGGTAATAAAAATGGTGATGATGATATAGATGATCATCGTGGTTATTGGTTATGATGGTGATTGTGGTGAGGATGTGGGTGAAGTTGGTGGTGATGATGATAATGACCAAAGTGATGTCTGAGTTATTGGTGGCAATGATGATGAAGGAGATGGAGGAGGAGGAGGAAGAGGAAAAGGACGAAGAATATGATCAAGAAGAAAATGAAGAAGAATAAAAAAAGAAAAGAGAAGTACAACAAGGAGGAGAAGAAGAAGAGATAGAAGAAAGAGATAAGATGATAATGGAAGTGTTCTTTAGATAAATGGTAATACTCTTGCCGTCACTTCTAGTAACCATTTTGTTTCTTTCTTTTGAACAGACCAAAGATCTTGCTGCAGGGACTTTATGGAATCTCAGTTCATCAGAGGTAATTACATTTTATTTGTTCTTTTTCATCAAGATTAAGTACCGTAAATCTCTGTGTATAAGGCGCACCCCTATTGTGTTGTTTTGTTGCCGAAAACCTACGCGGGGAAGGACCTTCATTTAACATCGAGGTGCAGTTGAAGGCGCTGCTTTGTGCTTGTGAACTTGTCACAAATAATAGTAACAATATCGTTTTTAGAAGAATGTGTAAATTAAAAACAATAGAGTACCTAGGATAGAACCTTGTGGTACACCATTTGTTATAGAAAAAGAAGTGCGCCTTATACACAGAGATTTACGGTAATATTTTCATCAATTTGATCTTTTTCAAACCTCACAGTATATGTACTACCTTTCTTAATTTCCAGACAGTTTCTTTGACAATCTTTAATACTGCATCATCATGGCAAAACTACTCTATCCTTTAATCTTTTATAAAATAAGAGTATAATCGTCTTTCACTACATACTTATTTTTACTGACCTAACTCAAATGTAGAAATAAAATGTTTTTGCCAACATTGTTTTACTTCACTCAACAGCCTTTGAAGAAGACTATCTTGGAGAATGCTCTGAGTGTACTGGTGAACAATGTATTAGTCCCAGAGTCTGGATGGAAGCCTAGCGGTAACAGTCCTTTCAAGCCTGCTGACGAACCATGGACGAAGACGTTTATCAACTCTACTGGATGTTTGAGGTAAGATATACAGTCAAACCTGTCTATAGGGACCGCCCAAGGGAAACACAAAAAGTGGTCTTTGTAGGCAGGTGGTCTTTGTAGACAGATACCTTTAGTACATGTTTCAATGAGAAACCATTTTCAAGAAAAACAAAAATGTGGTCTTTGTAGACAGGTGGTCTCTGTGGTCACTAAAGCAGGTTTGACTGTATTTATCTGTATGCTTCACATAGTGTGCCTAGTACATGTACAGTGTGCTCTCAGCAGAAACATTATTATTGCCCCGGCCATCAGATCAAGTCTTCCTCGCAAACAATGTTTTCACATTCTCCACTCCCTGTGGAGCATTCTAGCCAGATGCCATGTAACGGACACTCCCTTTTATTATTACTTTAGTAGTCCTATTTTACGTTTTTTTTAAAAATCTAATCACAAAGAGGCTCTTTTCTTTGTGTTCCAAGCATGCAATTTTGTCTGAATTGTTTTAATTTAGAACTTTTTTTTTGTGATGAGCTCGCATTGAGGAATTAATTGTAAGTTCCTCTCATAACACTGTTACTTTTGAAAGTAATGATTACAAATTTGCGAAACCCCACTGAGACTGGTCAAAATGTGGTAGAAAATAATTGCATCACCTAGCCTTCCACACCAGTCTCTTATTTAAATAAGCTGTAATCGTGTAAACCCTTTCCCTTTTATAGGAATGTGAGTCTTGATTAGGAGGATGCTCAAGACTAGAAGAAATGGAGGGAAAGAGTGTCATGATGTCACAGAAGGCAGTAACCCCTCGTAAGAGGGACAATGTTAACATTAATAAATGATGATGATGTGGGTATGTGAAACAATTGAATTGATAGCCTTCCGCACCAGTCTCTTATTTGAATAATCTGTAACCGTGTAAACCCTTTCCCTACTATAGGAATGTGAGTTCTGGAGGCATAGAAGCCAGGCATCGGATGAGGGAGTGTGAGGGGCTGGTAGACAGTCTACTTCATGTACTCAGCTCTTCAATGAGAAACAATGATATGGATAATCAGGTAAGTGTAGGCCTCCTCATGCAATATATAATTCTTTGTATTTTTTGTTTTGTTGATATATTACTTTTGTGAATTCTAGGCCCAATAAAAACAAATACATGTCTAGCGTCCTGTCTTTTTGAAAAAAGGAAGGAAGAGGCCCTTTTTTTTCTTCTTCAAAATGGCCCCCACTTGGACTCGGGGGAAATGACATATGGGGTTTGTGTGGAAAGCCTTTTTTTTTTCCTCTCTCTTTGAAAATAGATCATTTTAACAGTATATTGTTGTTTTTTTTCATCAAAAAAATATTAAAAAGCAGTCAGCCTTAAGTGGTGCATATAGGCTGGTGGTCACCTCTAGTACATGTTTCTATGAAGAACCATTTTAAAGGGAAACAAAAATTGTGGTCTTTCTATACAATAAGGGAGTTTACAGATAGCACATGGTACAAATATCCACAGATCTTTTACACATGGAGAAGTTCCACTTTGAGCATCTTAGAATAATAACTGCCAAAGTCCGAGATGTGCTTCATGAGTACCTTTTGTTTGCTCCTCTTGAAAAGAATACTTCCACCTGCGTAACTTAGAATGTACCGTTGCTGCATACATGAATAATGTTACATAACTTTAATGAGCGCATATCCAGTATTCATCTCTGTGGGTTTTACCTTTTTGGTACAATGGCCTTTATCTGCCCATGCGCAGATTGTATCTGTAAACTCCCTTATTGATTACTAAAGCAGGTTTGACTGTATGACGCTAGAATAGAAGGGCTTGTAGTGGGAAATTTTATAATTATCACGATATCTCTCTTTCAGGTTGTAGAGAACACGCTTTGCATCCTGAGAAACTTGACGTTCCGTATAGCGAACGAAGCGAATCACCCCGATGCCATACCACTACGCAACACAACCTCTAACGTCCCGGATACTCAATCAAGATCACAACAGAAAAAGAGTAAGTGAACAAGTTTCAGGTGTGATGTGTCACAGTGAAACATGATACGATTGGCTGTTTGTGATGGAAGTAATTATGGACAGAAAGTTAGTTGGTGTATGAAATGTGATTTATATGCTCGCTTTCTTTTCCAAAGAGAGATATCTGAAATTTTCAGTTGTTTAGAGGCCCCTGTTTTGTACCAGTCTTTAATTCTTGATTTTGCATTGAGGGAGTACTTATTGTGCCTGTGATTGTGCTCTTATACATGCTACTCAAATATTGCTGACAATAGTATTACTAATACTATCATTGAATGTCAGTTCAATATTATAATTTATTGTTTCACCTGATGAAAAAAACATTGATGTTACTGATTTATTATATTTCATGAAAGCTTTATCCTTTTACCTGATGTAAAATTTGTTTACCTCCAGGCCCACAAAGTGGTTCTTTAATCTGCTTTGGGGGCAGTAAAAAGAAGGATGCTCAGCTTGCTTCCAATGGCACGGCAGGGTGAGTTGATCCTAAATGTTTTGATTGATTGAACATACAGTTGTAAACTAAATTATTGTACCCTTACCACGTTTTATGATTGTGAAGTACGTGAAAAATTGATTTATTGTCTAAATTTATGTTTCTTGAGAATGTGACAAAGTAAAACTTACATATAAAAGTATTGAACAGAGGCCCTAAAACAACAAGCCACCTTTCATTCTTTAGATACAAAAAAACATACAAAATCAACAATGGGAAATGAATAATTTAGTTGTTTCAAAATTCTTTGAAGAATAATTGATGTAGTATGCACACTTCTTTCTTTCTGGTAAGAGACACTGGACATTAAACCCTTCTAAGCTCATCCGTACTTTGAAGAATCATCGTAAAGATAAGCTTATCTAAAACTTGATATCATTGCACTGGGATTAATGTTGAACTTACACTTATTCCTTTTTTGCAGTAAAACCGGCACATAGAACCCTTCTAAGCTTGTCCATACTACGAAGAATCATCGTGGTGATAAGCTTAGCTTATAGTAATAATAATAATAACATGTCTTGTTTACCCAGGGTAGCCTCAGCAGTATTCATACTGTTGTCCCTGAGGGCCCTGCAATCATATTATTACCCCGGTCATCGGATTCAGGCTTACCCGCACACAATGTATGCACATTCTCCACTCCCTGGGGAGCATTCCAACCAGACTTAATTTTTACAAGCGCACACTTGCTAATCTTGAACTTGGATTGATGTTATATGTACACTTGTTGCCTTCTTGCAGTAAAACGGGCACATGGAACCCTTCCCAGCCGATCCCTAACCTGAAGAAGGACGTTCGAGGCGTTGAGAAGCTGTGGCAGCCAAGCATCATCAACCCATATCTCATTGTACTGTCAGAGTGCTCTAGACCGGCCTCACTGGAGGCAGCCGCCGGCACGCTACAGAACGTAACAGCTGGGGAGTGGCAGGTGGGTTGAATGGGAGATGGGGGATTCCCCTGAAAATAGGGGACTCCACTTGATGTAATTCATTATCTATGTGTGATGTGTCTGATCATGATGTAGCCTTTATGTTCTCATTGCTGGTACTATACTAACTGTTACAGCTGGAGAATGGCAGGTGGGTTGTACTGAAGATATGGGATTCCCCTGGAAAATAGGGGACTCCCCCTTGATGTAATTCATTATCTATGTGTGATGGTGACTTATGCTCTTTGATCATTCTTATCTTCTTATTGATGGTACGATGGAGCATGTTAAAGCTGAAGAGTGGCGGATGGGTTGCATACTAGATATAGGGCAGTCTCTTAAAGATTTGTTCCTGAAAAGGGGACTCCTCATGCTAAAATTCTTCTGTTTTGTTTTCTTGTTCATACGTTTTCTTGATCTGTTACCCTATTTTATTTCTATTTAATTTTGACATACATAGAATTGATACTGACATTGTTCATATAGTTTGCCATACGTCTGTAGCTCTGCCAAACTTTATACAATTCCATTTTGCACTTTTAAGAGAACAGCGCAAGTTAAAAAGCAAAAGAAATACATTTTCTTACTCAGTATTTTCTCTCTGCTTATTCTCGGAAATCATGAAAACTTGATACAAACATTGGGACACTTGTAAACTTAACTTGCAGTGCATTTGTAACTATTTTCTCTTTTATTTTTGCAGTGGGCAATGTACATCAGAGCTGAGATGAGGAAAGAGAAAGGTCTACCAATCCTTGTTGAGCTTCTGAGAATGAAGAACGATCGTGTGATGATAGCCGTTGCCAAGGCTCTCCGTAATCTCGCCATGGACCCTAGGAACAAAGACCTCATTGGTAAGAATAATATATTTATAATAATAATAATAATATTTATGAAGCCCAACATATCCATTTGTAGAAATGCTCAAGGCGTACACAAATAATTTAAATTAATATTCAATATACTTAAGATTAAAGAAATATTAAATGTTAACTTTACATTAGATCACACAACTTCAACTTCAACTTCTAAATAGCCTGAATGTGCAAAGGTGCTTGGAAACAGAAACACTTGAGTAACCAGGGGGAGAAGATAAATGGAAATGGAAAAAAATAATTCTTTTTCTTGTTTGTTTTTTGATAGAGGAAACTAAAATAAGATGACTTTTTTTCATTCAATCATTGTTCTTTGCTTGTATGTTGACAATTCTTTTATACTTCATGTTTACCCTATAATCGCCCATGTTGCACTGAAATATATATAAATATTATAATATGTGGTTTGAGTGCAAGAGAATGAAGCTTATAAAGATCATAAGATGTATGTCTTTCTTTGAAGGGATCGTTTGACAATGTTCAATCTGAGATGCATGGGCCTACGTGTTATCAGTGTCTCTGATATGGTGTAATATTGTCCTATAAGTCTCTCCAAAAAGTAACAATCTTTGAGTGACCGGTTTTACCATAATCATTTCCCCAATAGACTGTAGTGTTATAAAAAACCATTAGGAAAACAAAAAATGACATTTCAATTTCCAATCATAAATATCTTGATGATCAGACAGGCTTGATAATCGGCTTGTAAAAGTCATGGGATTCCTGACTGACCTAATGGTTTATAATTACAGCATGAGCTAAATCCAGGATTTTGTTTTAAAATCTGAGGCAATGTTACTGAGTCAATTTAAATGATGGAATTTATATTTATAACTTAATACTAGCTGATTACTTGTAAATCTATTTTTTTTCTCACAGGAAAGTATGGTATGCAGGACCTTGTGGAGCGTATGCCCACTTCAACCAGCGGCAGAAGGACCCCTAAAGACATCTCTCAGGACGGCATAGTAGCCATCCTAAACACCATGACGGAACTGGTCACGAAGAACCAAGAAAATGCTAAGTAAGTAGAGAGAGAGAGAGGGGAGGGAGAGGGAGAGGGAGAGGGAGGGAGAGGAAGGGAGGGAGGGGGTTTTGACGGAGAGAAGAAGGGAGAGAAGGAGGGAGGGAGGGAGAGAGAGAGGGGGAGGGAGGGAGGGAGGGAGGTTAGAGAGAGAGAGAGAGAGGGAGGGAGGGAGAGAGAGAGGGGGAGGGAGGGAGGTTAGAGAGAGAGAGGGAGGGGGAGAGGGGGAGAGAGGGAGGACATCTAAGGATATCTCTCATGAAGGAATCGTAGGTTACAAAGAACCAAGAAAATGCTAAGTAAGTAGAAAGAGAGAGAGGGAGAGAGAGAGAGAGAGAAGGGTATTGCTCACGAAGGCATCGTAGCCATCTTAAACACCATTAGAGGGAGGGGGTAGAGAGATGTGAGGGAGGGAGAGAGAGAGAGATGAGTTAAGAGAAGAGGAGAGAAAGAGGGAGAGACAAAGATGTAGCTTGAGGGGAAGGAGGGTAAGAGAGAGTTCAGTGCATCGTTTATCTCCAAGATGGCAGGCATGGTGCGTGGTTCATCCAGAGTTCAACCTCTCTCTGCCGCACACGCATATAAGGGATTATATTTAGATGGAGCCAGGGCAGACTTTGCACAATGCTCTCAGTGATCGAGAAGAACATGGAGCATTCTCCTCGCTCTCTTTCACAAGATGATCCTTTATGTATCGGCTTGCATGGTGATGTAGATATACAGTCGGCTTCCGGTTGCACCATGTGAGAATAGTCAAACAAATAGTCAACCTGTTCGAAACGTCGACCTACTCCTACCACCCGTCCTCTCCAACCAGCGCTATACATGTAGTTCTCCTTAGAACTAAAAGCTAAGAAAGATAACCAACAGTCCTTTTCAGGACTACACACACTCAAGAAAGAAATATTTAACGAGAGTCCTTTTCAGGACTCCCCAATCCTCCCGCCTCTCTCACATGGTGCAACCGCAAGCCTACTGTATGATCCTTTATTTCAATGCAATTTATATTTCCATTTGTCTTTCATGTGTAGGTCTCTGAGAGGTGCATCAGGTATCGAGCGTCTTGTCTCCCTCACCAAGGCCAATGGTATCTACCCTGCCTCAGTCATCAAAGCAGCATATCAGGTAGGTCCACAAAATAGTAAAGTGACTTGGTAACATTGCCTCAGATTCTGAAACATGATCCTGGATTTAGCACATGCAATCATAATTATAAACCTTTAGGTCAGGCCGGAATCCCATGACTTTTTCAAGCCGATCGCCTGTCTAATAATCGTTTTTTATAACACTACAGTCTATTGGGGAAAAGGAGTATGGTAAAACCGGTCACTCAAAGATTTTACTTTTTTGAGGTACTTCATGATCATTTTGAAGCGCAATTTGTTTAGGGCTTCAATATTACACCATATCACAAACACTGATAACATTGTTAAACAATGCCTTTAAAGGGAAATAATGATCCCTTTCCACACATGTGCAGAAGGTCATAAATCACTGACACCAGACTTGGTGGAAATACCACTAATGGGTGTACAAGTCTGCGCACAGCAAACCCGGAGTCCAATCCAGGAATGTATAAAGCGCCAATATCTAGTTGCCTAATCAAAGGCGCTGATGAGACTGAAAAACTACCAAAAATGTCTGTTCATGATTGTAACTGAGAAAGACATAAAAGCAGTGACTAATTGTAAGCAATCTAAAATAGATATGTCTTTAGTTGAGTTCTGAAAGTGGATAATCAACAAATATTTCCTAGTCTCTCAGAGAGTCTTTGGGTGAGGGGAATGTAAGATGATGACTTTACCATATGGGAAGATGGGTAGAAATGCAGAGCCTAAGGCCTGCTGGTCATACAACTGAAAGCTAATCCTGGTGATTGAAAACACGTGTTGGTTTTCAAACTGGGACCTTCCTGTTACGAGACCACTGTGATGTTGCCTCCTCCCTGAGACATCGCTCGATGACTATTAATGGTCTGTACAATTGACTAACGTCCTTTTTACATTGATAACAGGTGCTGCATGCCATGTGGGCCTATAAGGACATGCGACCCCAGTACAAGAAGGACGGATGGGAAGAGAAGTTCTTCCACGCATCCAGCACCTTCACAACGCTCCCCAGGAAAACCACGGTGGATGGCTCCCTGCCTCCGACGGCCAGCGGGAGCAAGAGCGAGCCCACGAGCCGGACGAACACGGTGCAGAGACACAGTGAGTGGAATGGAGGGTATAGTGGTGGTGGTGGTGGTGGTAGTGGTAGTGATGGTAGTGGTGGTGGAGGTTTTGATATCGGATGTGTAGATAGTATTGGGAGCAATAGTGAGCCGGACAAACACAGTGCAGAGACAGAGTGAGTAGAACCGATGGGGATGATGGTGGTTGCGGTAGTGTTGATGATGACGGTGGTGGTGCTGGTGCTTATGATATGGGATGTGTAGATTCAAACGTGAAGAAAGTATTGGATGATGGTGATGGTTATGGTGGTTATGCTGATAAAAATACTGATTGAGGCTATACAGGGAGTGATGTTATTGATGGTGATAATCATTAAGAAATTTTGGCCGTGGTTTTCATAGCAATGTTGATGCTGGTTGTGTTCCTAATGTTAAACAAATGACGATGATGTTTCTGGCTATTAAAATCTAAGGAGTATCTGTGACAGGATTTGTTGTAGTAATCCAAACTCCTGTGTTATAAATAATCTCCTGAGTCATCTCATCTTATCATTTCTAGGAAACGACTCCAACGAGATCAGTCAGCCGACCAGGCCCGCCCCTGAGCTAAGCCACACCCATCGTGATGAGGCCCCGCCCCCTTTTGACGACCCTTACAACGTGTCCCCCGGCCATCAGCCCATGTACGACGAGCGATCCGTTGACAGAGACTTCGGCGGAGCAGGTAAGAAAATACAGAAGAAGAAAAAGTAATGCTATATATATTACTCATTGCGGATGTAGTATCAAAAAATATATCGCTTGTGATATTCGTTTGTCTCGCAATGTATGGTCAACAAGGGATCTAAAAGATCACAACATTTTGTGCGCTGCTGCAACACTTTGTCAGGTGATAAAATATATTGTAAGCAAGCGTCTTTTATACTCTAAAAAAAAAGTAGTTTAAAGTTGATTCTCAGATTGGCCGTTTGTGGTAGTGTGACATGTTTCAAACAAAAATGAAGAATATTTTGATATGAGTATTGAATAAGGGTGCTCCGACATATCGCCACCATTAGTTATAGTCATATCAAGACATTCATTCATGGATGATATATATATGAGTAATTGTGATATGTCATTCAGGACACTATGGTTGTGGTGGTGGGTGTTAGGATGATATAGAACTTACATGTTTTTTTTGGTTTTTTTTGTATTATCTGTAGTATTATTTGTTTATGTACACATTGCAACAAAAAGGTTGGATTTCAGGTACAGACAGAAATACAAAGCAATACATACAGTCATGTAACAATAGTATAAATCATTTACACAATTTACTTGATATATATATAGTTAGTCAGTAAACAAAGTGTGTTTTACAGAAATAATGAATGTTTGTGGTTGCTACAGTTATGTATGTCATGTTTAGCATGTTACAAAAAAGCAGACCTTCACAAATTTCCATGATTATACTCATAATGCTACTGAGGGAATAAGTATGTTTTAAGGGATCTTTAGAAAGAAGCAAGACTGGTTAATTCTCTAATGACTGGTTAATTAGCTGATCAGAAAATATTTTAATGTATAATTTCATTCATGATTTCATCACAGAGAGAAAACGTGTTAAAGAAGATCCTTATTCAAATTATAGACCCAAATCTACAGGTAACAAGAGAACGGAATTGCATCTTTTACATTCTTTTATAGATATAATTAAGCTATAAAAAAGCTCCATACTCTATGAATACTAATATAAACTTTCTACTATATTATCATACTTCAACATGAAAAGCCCTTATTCTATACAAATATTAATACATGTACAGCTAACAACTCAATCATTCATACCCTTGTAAGTTTGAAGTTTGTTGTGACTTTACCAACCCAAGAATGAAAGGTGGACTGGCTGAATTAGAACCACTGTGTAATACTTTTAGATGACTATAAAGCTTTCATGTGCCACATTCTCAAGAAACATAAATTGGGGCAAATTAATTTTTCACATTCTTCAAAAAATTACTATACTTGGTATTAAAGGGTAAGAATGATATAATTTGTAACTGTATTAATACATGCATATCTACAACTGTATCTTCAAGAATGCTAAAAAAAAATCTAGCATGAATAATACACATATTTCTCTTATATCTACTAAAATGTCTGATTTCTGAAGCCTTACTTACTAACACTCTCTAATATTATATACCTACATGTAGCATTTCTTTTTATTTTCAGTCTACAAAAGTACTTTCCAAGCCAGAGTTTATGTCACTTAACTAAAGAAATCCTTGTATTAAGAAACTCTAGTTCTACTTATCTATTTGAAAGTGTATAGTTGCTATTGCCATTTTTTAAATTTAATTGATGCATGCATGATATGAACGGGTGATGAATAAAGAGTACTTGCGACAGAGTGCTTGTGAAAAATTATATTGGGTTGCTCAAAACCTTCACTTATAAATGACAAAGAAGAAGGAAGAAAAGGGAGCAAGAGGAGGAGAAGGAGAAGAAGAAGAAGAAGGGGAAGAAGGAGAGGAAGAAGAAGAAGAAAAACAACACCAACAAGACCAAGATCAAGATAGAGATCAAGAACAAGAAGAACAAGAAGAAGAAAGAGGAGAAGAAGAGAAGGAGGAGGAGGAGGAGTTTATTTTAGCGTACATGATCACCTTTAATGCTGTTCTTTGACTCTTCAAATTCTAGTTATTATGCAAACTATTAAACTAAAGCTCCATACATTGTAAATATATAGCTTGATCTTAAAACCAGTACTATGTTCCGGTACCTGTATGCAATTACAAGGGTTCATGTTTACTTGTATCTGCAGTACTTATCTTTACTATGCATGTGTGTTCCTTGCATAACCTTTGCTTTAAAATTATCTTGCTTCTATGCAATACTTTTAAACTATGTCAGTGACAGTTCTGTTATTATCTTGTTTGTTAACTAAATATCAATTGGTTTTATGCATGGTACTTTTATACTGCATTTATCTCTGCTTAATTTAACAGCCGGGCTGACGATTATTATGTTGATTAACTCTCTTTGATACCCTAAGTTTAGAATGGAATAACCCAACCTCTGCATGCTCCCATACCTCTGGAATGCTCCATGTTCTCTAACGGGGGTGGTTCATGAATGCATACCTGCATCATACTAATTTCTAAACCCATCTCTTTATTTCTTCATTGCTTCTCTCCCCAATGCTCTTCTTGCTCTGTGTATGTGTGTGTGTAGAGGATGATTTGATCCACCGCCTAGAACCCTATACTAGAGAAAGTGTGTCGACGTTCAATAGCCAAGGTAGGTGGAACACCCCTGTTTTTGTGAGTGGAATAACCCTCTGCACCATTGTTCAGCACTGCATCTTGACTGTTCCACTTTTGTAATTGGGGGGGGGGGGGGGGGGGGGGGTCATACTAGAAAAGTTGTTCAACATGAGATAGTCAACGAATGTGGAAACCCCTGTTTTGTGAGTGCAATAACGCTCTGTACCATTGTTTGGCACTGCTTTTTGTTTCTTCAACTTTCATGAAGGGGAGGAGGGAGGTCCAGAATCTTTTACTTAATAATTGTATCCATATTCACTAGCCAATGTAGGTTTAAAAAAAATCTCTTTGTGAATGGAATAACCCTATGCACCATGGTTTGGCACTGCACCTAAATTGTTCAAAGTAATATATTGCTTAATTATTGGAGAGGGGGGGGGGGGGTGCATTACTTTCATCGATGAACTGTTCTAGACCAGTCATATCAGTGTCTTCTGAAAGCCTATTTAAGGAATTTGTTTCAGAAAATAAAATAGGAGGGAAGATCCCCTACCAGGAACATTGTAATCTAGTGTAAAATATTCAGGCTGCCCCTTCTTCAGATGGTGGGGAAGGAGGAGGGGGAGGATATATTTTTGGTTATGTTTTCCTCTATACTTGCACATTGAATCCACATAACAATTAAGCACAGATTTCAACATATTTTCTTTGCTGATTTATTCAATTTCCTATCGCTTGCATGTTCTAATATATGCATTTAATGATTCTACTTTTTCTTATGTTATGGAAATGTTAAACCTCTCTCATTATCTTTCTTCCTTTCTTTCTGTCTCTCTCCCGCTTTCTTGCTTTACCCCTCGACTACTGAGAACCTAATTTCCAAATGTAAAAGAACCACCCAGCTCCCATAGGCAACGGGTTAAACGTTTATATGATGCATTGACCTTGAATAAATTAGTTCAGATTCTTTATTTGTTATTATCTAACCGCTTTTCTTTCCAATTAATTTGTTACTAACTGAAATTGTGTGACAAAATTTGTTTGTAACAAAATATTTGATTCTGTTTTCATTTTAACCCAGTTGGTGTCACAAGGTTTACTGATTAATTGTTGCAAACATACTATTCTACCATGGGTATTATCTTGAGAATAAATGTACATTTACCTCTTAATTACTGGGTGAAACTTCAACCTGTTTCTTTCTCAAATCGCAAGTGCCCAAAATATATACATGCTTTTCAACTTTACAAAATACACAGTTTACACGTACAAAATAGAGTGTTTTTTTCTTCATGAAGAAACGCAAAGTCAACATGATGAATTAAAACATAATTCAAAGAAACGCCTCCCCCCCCCCACCCCCCAGGGTATCCTTTTCAGATTCAATACTGTTTAGATAGTACAGTCAGACCTGCTTTAGTGACCACCTGTCTACAAAGACCACATTTTTTGTTTCCCTTGAAAACGGTTTCTCATTGAATCATGTACTAAAGGAACCCGTCTACAAAGACCATTTTAAGAGTTTACCTTGGGTGTTCGCTATGGACAGGTTTGACTGTATTATTTTATCTTTAATTTTTAGAGACAAATGAACAGTCATGTTTATTCATGCCTTTATTTCTGCCCTCCCTCAGAGCGCCTAGCTGATCACATGACACCTGGGGAAGAGATCGCCATGCAGCCGATGTCATCTGACTATGCTGTTAACCCCTATGCTAGCACCAACCGTAAGAGCGTACCCGTCGGAGGCGTCTCCGTTTACGGAAGGGTGAGTATTTACATTAATACTAATTAGATCATTTTAGCAGTGTGGTTTTCATGTTTAAAAAAGGAGGAGGCGGCCCCCAAAAAGAAAGCGGGTGGGGACGCTAAACATGAATATTTTTAAATGGCCTTATGTTTTCAGAAGGTCCGTCCATCTGTCCGTACGTACGTATGTCTGTACGTCCCGTTCTCGTGATCGCGTTATCTCAAGAACCAATCGATGGATTCCAGCCAAACTTAGGTCATGTATGTATCTTGGAGAGCCAATGAACTGCTTAGATTTGGGGGTCGCGAGGTCACAGGTCATGCACGTATCCTTCGAGCTCTGTGTTATAAGATACAGGAATGTGACCTGTACTGCACTTCACCCCATGAAAAAAGGCTTCTTTTATCATGTATTGTAGACTGAACATTCATGAAAAGTTGTATTCCATTATTGGAATATAATTTCTGATCTAAAATTTCAATTTTTTCTTCTTTTCCTTTTTTTTGCACCAGGCCCCTGAACCCCAGGTTGAGCATTCAAACTACACAACAGTGGACCGCTCAATGAGCCATGACAGCTACGACCGCAGCAAGGATTACGGGGATTACAGTACTGCTCAGCATGTGCAGCTCCAGGCCCAGGACGAACCGGCAGGCGACTCATGGGTGTAATGCTACACCCCTCTACCAGCCACACCCTGTTTAATACACCCCAACACATGTACCCATACTCTACCACGGCAGATTACACTCCAACATTAAGACCACAGTAAGGATAACAGTGAATACAGGTGCAGGATGAACCGGGAGGTGACTCATGGGTGTAATGGTCACCCCCTTCTACCAGCCACGCCTTGATATACTGTACCCAAACAGACCCATAGCGACGCTTGGCTCTACAACTACTGCATTGATTATACATGAAGCCATCTTTGTCATGCTTGAACAAGGGGATTTCTGTGACATGAGATACATGTAATTAACTGTAATCTAGTCAAACTCAGCCATGTGTATCAAATTCAGTTCACCGGGTAATCCAATCTCCAAATTTACGACATTTTTTTACGACATTTTTTTACGACATTTTTATTTCACTTTTGTTGGGCTGACAGCCAATGCAGTACTGCAGATCTACCCCTAAATTAGTCAACCTACCTATAGGGAAGTGGCAAAGTTCAGTGATGTGTGTAGTGTACAAATCGTAAGCCAGGCATATGCCAGCAAGCGGTTTTTAAACGAGCATATTTACTCTCAGTTTTTAGATGTTTTCTAGCACAAGTTGATCATTATCCAGTATCCACTTACTTTTACACAATGTAGCTTAATAATCAGTGTTGATATTTCTCTTTTGACGTTACCTTGGTAACGGAAAAGAAAAAGGGGGATTGGATTTAAAAAAAAAAATTATAATTAGATGTTGAACGTCTCGTACAGAATAATTCATTAGGTCACAAAGTATTTCTTTTGATGCATATATCACAAAAAATGTATTCTGGTGCACTTAAACTGTCACACAATCATGCTGAAATATAACACTAATGGTATTCAATTTACTACAATTCATACAGATTTAGAGAGATATATTTTGCTGTTACTAACGATTTTATATCATGGTTCTACTTAACTTTTGATACCGTATTCAATGTGAAAGAATTTGCACTATATTTTGAACTCTGAATGGTTATGCCAGCCCCCCCCCCCTTTTCCAACTCAAATGTGTACATGTAAACATTTGATTTGAGCACAAAATGCATCAGCTTTTCTATGAATCCTCATTCATTATAGGATTGGTGTTTATTCAACTTTCTGAAGTCATCTGACTAACTAGTTGCAAGCTATTCTAAAATTATATATATATTTCTTCCTTAACAACCATTGCTTCCACGGTTTTGTCACAAACATTTATAGCTTGAAACCAATTTTAATACAAACAGATATACTTAATTATGAATATTTTCAGCTTCCTAAATTGTCTTTTTAACAACCTTTCTGTCATTTCTAAGTGATACTAACATCAATTAGTTCAGAAATAGATAAAAGCTGTTATTATGATACACAACTTTTTAGATATATATTTCTGATGGTTCTTATCACCTACTGATAGATGAGAAATTGCACTGGTTGCATTCACTTTTGTTTTCCATCAATGGTGTTTACATTTTTCATTGATCAAATGGTCATAATCATCATGGCTTTGCCTAATATGAATACCGAGATGCTTCTCATCTTTTTGCATGTTTGTGTTGTCGGAGAAAGATAAATGAAGCTTTTAAGAACTGAAAGTAACCTAATGTCTTAGTTCTAAGCTTTTTTTTCTGATCTGATAACACCGGTTGTTCCAAATTACTCAAAGTTTTGAAGGATTGCTTCAGAATAGAGAAAATTATCTTTTAGGATACATGTAAAGACAACTCTAGGAAAACAGAAGTGGTGTTTACAGGCAGGGGGTTGCTAGAGCAGGTTACACTGTACATGTTCCACATTGGAATGGGATTTGCTTGACTGTTTTGCTGCCAAGACTTTTATTACACTTTTTTTATGATTAGATGACTTACAAAGATATTTCTACTAGATGTTCCAGCTTAGATATTCATGAGCAAAGATCGTTCATTCATGTAAATTGTCTCTTTTAGAGGAAACAAAATGTTTTTCGGAAGAACTTTGATGCAAAAATAACAAATGTACAAGGAAATAATGGGCTGGTCTTTGTACTCGGACTACATCAATTGCTCAACGTTAATGCAAAGCTGGTACAGACAACCGTGACTTGCCCCTTGAGTAATCAGTCATTCAAGCTTTTAATATTCATCAAATTATTCATGTATTCAGATTTATTTAAAAAATTCTGCCTTTGATTTTCTATGGAGTTGTAGTTCGAAATAATGCCCAAACCGTTATCATTATTCTTGCACATCATTTTGTTAGTAAGAGTACGAAAACCCAAATTTGTCATATAGCTACTACATTTCGGTAAAGCCATACAACAATATATTTGTGTACGAACACAGGGAAAGAGTCTGTGACTAAATGCATTATTTGATAATTCGTGGATATGTACATCAACAGTAACAAAAACTATGTAAATTGTACATTTTGATGATCAAATTCATTCATCATCTTAGCCAAGTCCAACAAAACGGTGGAAATACTTGTCTGAAGAAAAATGCCTTACGTTTCATTCTTGTACAAAGACTTATTTTTCAGTCATTGAATAACTTTGACAAAGATGTTGCTGATAAAGATGTTCATGATGATGATGATGCTATTTAAGATTTTTAATGTTGCACTGCTTTTTGTATTCAAGTGTAAAATAATTATGATATGTTTATGCGAAAATACAGAGAATTTGTTGTGATTGAAAGAGATACTTGTAATAGAAAAATATTGTTATATGGTATAATATATTGATCACCTCTCTCTTCCTCCCTGCCTACTTACTGTCTCTCCTCTTTCTCTCTTTCTCTCTCTATCTTCCCCCATCCCCCTTATCTTTTTCTCTTGCTTTTTTAATAGTATATGCTGTCCTCTCTCACACTCTCTCTCTCTCTCTCTCTCTCACTCTCTCTCTCTCTCTCTCTCTCTCTCAATCTCTTTCTGTTTCTATTTTTGGGGGTAATGATATGATTGCAGGGCCCTCAGGGAGAACAGTATTAATACTGATGAGGCTACCCTGGGTAAACAAGACATATCATCATTGTTATTATAATCATATCTTGTTTCATATTATGTTTACTCATTATCTATCCATACATTTTTCTGTATTTTTCATATTTGTTCTTCTTCTCTAAACTTCTTTATATCACTCTCCCCTATGTCAATTACTTATTTTATGCACTTGCAATGTACATGCTTATGTAACATATTGTACATATGTTTTTACACATACATGCATAGTAATGTCATTCTACATGCCATCCCCATGAAGCATAATGTAAACACCCAAAGCTCAGCTGCATATAGGCAGCTACAACATAGAATGGATTGGTCCATTTTGGTGACAGGGGTGTCTGAGGTAATGCATCTAGGAGGAAGAAAGATTATGCTATTTACCTGTACATGTATATTTGTATTCAATGCTAAAAGTTAAATTTTCTGTTTGGAGCCAAAAGGTTAACGCTGAAAAACGAAAGGAATTAGCGCCCTTCTGGCTTCAAATAAAAAAAGACGTTATGTGCACTGTGTTCTCTTCACAATGCTCATATTCTGATAATGATTTTTGGATGATTCCATGAGTTGGAATGCCAAGAAAATAAATGGAAATGATATTTTATCCAGAAGTATGATTGAGAATAAACCAAATAGAATTTGAAAAGAAGTTAAATGATAAAGGTACTATATGTAGATTGATGTTAATGTTTGAAATACTGTATATTCATGCATTGTTTGCTATTTATTCTTCACAAATTATGTTGTATTCATAGCAGTGTAAAAAAATTAAGACAGATAACAAGAAAAGCATTACAACTAGCTTGACTTGTGAGGAGAATTGCCGATATCTGAATAACCAAGTTGTAATTAAGGTACTAAGAGCTAAGCTGTCAATCTGTGTTGGCTGAGACATGAAAATACAAAATGTTAAAACAAGGAAACATAATAAAGCCAAAAGTACAGATGGAAAAAAAAAGGTTTTCTTTATTAAAGTAGGGACTTAAATATATGTGAAAATGTTCTGCTTTGAAGAGTTAATAATAGCTTTACGAACAAGTCAATTAGTTTCAGGTTTTACTATAACAGAAAATATAAAAGATGTTACATGTATATACTTTTTGTAATTACGTTCTCTGTTTAAAACTTAGCCAGATTTTCAATTGTAAATTCAAAGAGGGGAATTATATGTGTGGGGATAAAACATAACAAAATATAATCAGGATAATGTTTTTTTTTAAACATAGCCAGTCTTTTTGATACTCTTTAAACTATTGATTATGTAACAGCTAGTAGCACTGTGTGAACGTGTTTCTTTGAATTATGTTTTAATTCATCATGTTGACTTTGCGTTTCTTCATGTAGAAAATAACGCTCTATTTTGTACGTGTAAACTGTGTATTTTGTAAAGTTGAAAAGCATGTATATATTTGGGCACTTGCGATTTGAGAAAGAAACTTTTGTGAGATGTGAGCTAGGAGATTTTTAAAGAAGTAACGATTTAAAGTAACGACTTAAAGCTACAATGTGTTTATTATAGCTCTGTGCATACAATTCTTCCGTATGTTAGCTTTAATTAAGAGAGTTATTTTGTTAGTGTTTTTGTAATGTGTACAATAATGGATAAACTGCAGAGGATACGGTTTGTGTTCATGAAAGGTTGATTTAAATCAATAAAAAATACAAACTTGCAACATTTGATTTTCTTTGTTTTGATTTGCAGTCACTTGCTTGATGATGACATTAATTATTGTGATCAATTTCAATCCAATCTCTTTCTCTCTCTCCCATTTTCCTCTTTCCATCCCTCTCTCTCACTATCTCTTTCTTCTTGTTCTTCTCTGTCTCTCTCTACTTTTTCTACGTACTATCTCTCTCTCTCTCTTCTCCTTCTCTCTATCTCTTCTTCTATCTCTCTTCTTCTTTTTCTTTTCTCTCTCTCTTCTTCTTGTTCTCCTTCTTTCTATCTCGCTCTTCTTCTTCTCTCTATCTCTCTTCTTTTTTTTCCTCATTCTTCTCTCTTCTTGTTCTCCTTCTTTCTTTCTCTTTCTCTCTTTTTCTTTTTCTTTCTCTCTTCTTTTTCTCCTTTCTATCTCTCCCTTGTCTTTTCAACCTGTCGATCAATAATACTAATGATGTTCTAATTTAGGTGCGTCTTTTTTAATAAATAGCACTTACAGTATATTCCCGTCACTTTGATTTGAGTCATTTCTTTAAATTTTTGTATTGGTATGATATTGTGCCACTACAAACACTAGCCGCTTCAGGTAACAATAGAAAATTTTGTTCAGATGATCAGACACGGACCAGGGGCCTGTTTCACAAAGCCTTTTTTCAATGACGAATGTTTTTATATTTATATTACAATTTTTGTATTAATATATGATAACATGAACTACAAATACAAGCCGCTCCAGGTAACAACAGATAATTTTGTTCAGATGGTCATTAGGACCAGGGGCATGTTTCATGAAGCCTTTTTTCAATGACAAATGACAAAAATCAGTGACAAATCTGCTGATACCAATCAGAAGCAAGGATTTCAGTAGCTTATAACAAAAGCTGTCATTTGTCACTGATGACAAGTTTAGTGAAACGCCCCCCAGCTATTGCTTTTTGGATGCAGCATCGCACATGCTAAATTTGTCCAGTGCTGCACAATATGAATGCACATGGTATACACACCTGTATAGCTGTACATAATGAAGTGGAAGCTTGACTGTTTAATGTAAAGAGGTCCTTGTTATATTAGGTATCTTGTTACATCAGGGTAGTAGGAAAAAGGAAGAATATAAAAGAGCTGGGACCAGCAAAACAGTTTATATCAGACCTCTTTATAATGAGGCTCCACTATATATACTGTATAGATAGATTGGTTTCCACAATATCTCCTTTTACAAAGAGTGTATATTGGAAATTATTTACTGTACATACAATACTGGTACACACTATTCAGAAAATTGTCCTTCAGTTGAACTTCAGAGATATAGTGGCGGAGCCTATGGAAAAGTATAGCTGTACGTTATATAGAGAAAGGCAACATTACATGCATGACTAAGAAAGCAAATAAAACCCTTGCCCTTTACAAGGAGAATTACAATAAACCCATAAATGTATGAAAGATTTAAACAGAAACAGATTCAGGAGTGAGCACCGACCGGTACATTGGAGAAAGCAAACATTGCATGACAAAGAAATCAAACTCTGATCGTACCAGGAAACCAAATGATACAAATGGAACAATAAAAGTGTCTACTTGGCAAGCTATTTATAATGCATACAATATGAGAGTACACACTCTACACCTGTACAGGGGCCATTTCACAAAGCCTTCAATGACAAATGACAACAATCAGTGACAAATCCGCTGATAACCAATCAGAAGCAAGGATTTCAGTATGATAAAAACTGTCATTTGTCACTGATGACAAGTTTTGTGAAACACCCCCCTGCAGGTGTTAATTGGACGAAAGCAAACATTGCATGAATAAGAAAGCAAATAAAACTCTAACCCTACCTGCAGTGAGAAAAGTAAATAGATTATAATTAAACAAAGCAGATGTTTGATAGTGCACCGTTCATTTACACCTCATCAAGCTTACAGTTACATACAGTTACATAAACTAGATTTGTCATACCCTTGTAAATTAGATTCGTTGGTGTTTTTCAGAACTCAGAAATGAAAGGTGGACTGGTTGTATAGAAGACTTTATTGAATTACTTTAGATACATGTACCATAAGCACTCATACGTGACATTCTAAAGAAACATATTCCCAGAAAAATCAACTTTCACATACTTGAAAAATTACAAAACTTGGTAAGGGTAAGAATAAATTACATGTGCATGTAATTGTTAACTGTAATTTACATGTATGTGTGCATTGAAATACTATCAATTCTGCATAAGTCAAAGCTTATCGGTACATCTATGTCAAATTTCACTTGGAAAGTGTAAATATCACAGCTTTTGCATACTAGGTTGGTCCAAAAAAATTGGTTTAACTTTTTTTTGGTGTGTGTGATTTTGAGTTTTGTATGGTTCCTTTCATTACGATGCAAACTGGCAACACAACAAAAACTGATAGACGGCATGAAACAAACGCACTCATTCTATATATATAGTGTGGTATCTATCAATGAATACCTCCTTTATTTCTAAATATTTTATCAAAGATTGCTTGACAAGCTTTAGCTGCATAAAATATGAAAAAGTAATGTACAGTACAACAATGTCTAGACAACTTCACTTGGTGCTCCTACAGTGTACATGTACATGATGACCTCCAAAAATTATATTTTCATTTATCATTTTTTTTATTACATACACATGTGCTGTACGAAAAAAGTATGAACAACACGATTATACATACATTCTACAAGTACTGGCACAGTGTTTGTGTAAAAGAACTACCAGCAAGTGTTACTGACATTATTATCAGGAAATAAGAGGTCATAGTCTGCAATCAATTATGCAATAAAAAAGTATGCACCATGAATTGAAATCATGGTATCGTATGGACAATGGAGCTAGGTTTATAACTCAGTCGTTAAAAACAAAGAGTTACCGGTAACGCCATTCTGGCTCTGTACTGGGCCCGTTTCATAAAACTTGTTCTCAAATCTCAATATCAAATGCTAAATTTCTCAGACAAATTTGCTCTCAACCAATCAAATGCCATGATTTCAGTAGA